TATATATACAGTAAGTGACACGGATAAATCTAAATCCAATTTAAAATTCATGGTACAAATTGTAAACAGTGGCAAAGGTGATGTGTTAACTGCTTAAAAAGAAAGTTTGAACCTAACTGTGTTTTTATCGCCATAAAGTGTGGGAAACATGTTTTCCTATCTGTTAGCAAAATATCTAACGAATCACTGGAGGGATTTTAATCAAACGTTTTTAAAGTGATCATCAAATGTACCTCTACAAGTCATTGGCCTGTTGGTAACCATGTTCAAGATGGCCGCCACAGCTTATCAATCTCCTAAAACAGACATTACTTTAACTCTGTCATTTTCACAGATGCTGAGTTACAACCTGACATGATGGTAGCTGAGTCATCCCTATCACATAATCCAAGCACTTACAGATCACATGCATCTTTGTTTAAAACTTGGGCTTTTGTAGTCAAGTCAACCCTGTCTGTTAGCAAAATATCTTATATACCAGTGAACAGATGTTGATGAAACTTTCAGAAGATAATCACTGGGTGCACATCTAGAACTGATTCACTTTCAGAGTTAACCAGGTTCAAGATGGCCGCCACAGCTAATGGAGATGAGCAAAAATGGCTCCAACTTTGTCAGTTGTATTAATATTGAGCTAAATTCTAGTGACAGAGTAGCTGTGTTATGCCAAACATTATATGTTGAGAGCCATATGTTTCTAACCATCTTTGGCATTGTTAGCAAAATACCTTGTGATCCAGTGGATACATTTAAGGGAAAGTCTCCAAGTAGTGACTGTCTCTAATCCTACATCACGTTAACATTTGGAGTCACCCCCATGATTAAGTGCTTGAGGATTGCTTAAGATCTTTGTTGAAACCTTTAGCATGCAAGACAGCGGACAGAACTGCATTTATTCAAGGTATGATAGTTTTATTCATCAAGTTATTCATGTCTTCAAAAATTAAAGCTTTTGTCAAAATGAGGACAGAATCAGCAGGTATTAACTTTGAATTAACTGGTTTGTGATCAACTTACTTTGTAAAAAACAAAAAAACAAAACTCAAAACAACTTATGGTTCTTGTACATTTTTCTATTCACCATTCAGACAGGCCCCTCAGGTGTCCTGTTCTGACTTCCTGATACAGAATAAGGCAGCGTTTCTGGGTAAGTACGCTGCTTTGATTACTCGCTGCACTCTGTAATCCCCCCCCCCATCCTGATTTTCTCTTCTGTCGAGACCTTTCCCTTCTTTCATTTACAGAGGAAGATGTAAACTTCTTCGCATCACTTTTTAAACAAAAATGTTGACAGCTACATGGACTGGTAGCGAACATCCTGTCTGTCACTCGCCGAGTTTTAGTCCAAGATCATCCTATGTTGAGAAATGACAGCTGTGGCCGTTTTGGTCCCCAACTCTCAGTGCATGTTGAGAATGACTCTCAGCTACTACCGCACTGGTTTTCAGCTCAGTATCTGTAAATGCATTGACTGAATTTGACCGGTTTTTGTGTTTTGCTATGGCAGCGATCTTGAATGGGGTTCATTCTGAAACACTACCGTTCAACCTTCCAACAAAACCAACAATGTATCTGTCAAATCCTTCCAATAAGGGTGTTCAGCACCCCCAACCCCGTTTTCCACTGACACACTTCCTCAACACAATGAGCGTACAGCAGGTTTTTAAGAGCAAAACTGAAGTTTTATGAATAAAGCAACAATTTGCAGTTCACACATCACACATGATGAAACAGATGTTTGACAAAAACAAACTGTCTTTACGTCGGCGTTTAGTTTTACTGCGTCACCAATGAAACAGCACATAGGTGGACTAATTAAAGTCCTCTTTGTTTGAAGATTCCAATTGTTTAAGCAGATTATTTCAGGGTTGTATGAATATCATCAACAGCAACGAACGGCGTCACCTTCATTACCAAAGCCTCTACAGAAATGAAACAGAGAGGGGGACTAATGAGGCTGTGTAGGATTCCTGGTTGCACACATTTTAGTCTGGATGACTCAACCTCGCTGGACGTGGTTTTACACTTTCTAAAGCCATCACCGTTCAGTCTGGTTTAGAAAGCTTTTCTTTTTAAGAGATCTCCCGAGACTCTTCAGGTTGATGCTTTCTGTGTTCCTGCTGAGTCAGACTCCTCCAGCACAGGGAAACAATGTGCGTTATCTGTTCTTCTTCTTTTCCTTTTTGCTTCTGCTGATGGAGCTGTGAGGAGCGCTGGCTGGGAGTGCGGTGGCATGGCCGCTGGTCTTCAGATGGTCAAACAGTTTGTTCCTTGTGGGGAACTCGTTGTTGCAGGTAACGCACAGGAGGCTCACTTCCTTCTAGATGTGGAAACATTTCATTTCAGCAGACACGAACAAACATTTTTCTTAGCAAGTTTTCAACAAAAGTAGGAAGATTTTCATGTAGATCTAAAAAACAGATGAGAAGATCTCAACGTACTTATTGCAAAGTATGAAAAAATATTAACAGGGTTATATGAGCCAAATCAAATGGTGCCATTTGAAAGTTTACTTCAGTTATTTTTCCAAATATATGGATGCGTAATTCTAAATTGCAGGTATGCACTCAATATAAACAAAGGGCTGGGCTAAATTTGCCGGAAATTATGTGGAAGTTTGAGTCACACGATTGCCCTACGTTAGAATAGTTTGTGTGAATAAACAAGTATGAAGGACCTCAAAAAACATTAAGGTTAAAAAATTAATGTGAAAGAAAAATAGACATTTAAAGGAGACATATCATACTTGTTAATCCTTCTTTTTCACATTCACATCATTCAGTTGGGGTTTATCTAAAGTGGAACTACAATGCTTTGGTCTGAATTCCTCCTTATATAACTCCACAAGCCCCACCCCTTTTCGGAGTTCTGTCTCAGATCAACTCGTTTTGATGCCGTCTCTTTAAATCCAAACAAGGTGCACCCCATCCCCCTCCAGCTTCCAGAGCAGTTCATTCTAGTTTGATAGAGGGGTTTATGACTATATAGCGGTGCAGACACTTTTTTTTTAATTTACAAATTAATTAAAAGACGTCAACAACAGAAAACTTGTCCATCCGGCCTCACATGTTGGAGCCAAAGTCTGACCCACAGCCAGAGGAGAATGGAGACAGCAAAACTGTAGTGGTAAGTCCAGACTGTATGTGTCAGTTCTGTCACAAATACTGTGATGTAGTAGTTCAGAAAATGTCAGAAAAAATAGTGAAAATTGAACAGCACAGAGAAAAACTACATTCAAATCCTGCCCTCCAAGAGACTAAACAACAAAATGAATTTAACGGCTAAAAAAAGTGGATTTTGCGTGATATGTCACCTTTAATAAAGAATATGAAGGATCAAGAAGGAATGTGAGGCACCATAAAGAGAGCTAGGTATTTAAACACTTATTAATTTCCAGCTCTAGTTGTACGCTTGAAACGTTTGTACTGGTTGTGTTTTCTAGAAAAACTCCAGATTATCAAGCCTAATTTAATCTAGATTGTTTTAATAATTTGTCTGCTTTATTCGATAAATCTGACTGTAAAATTGTACCAATGCATCAATGCAGACAGACTCTTCTATCCCAAACAGCCATTTTATTGCCATTGTTACATGTTTTTAGTCATTTTGGCTGTTTTTATAGGTAAACAATTGCACACAGTAGTAGGCAGATGTTTATACATTTAGGGACCCATTGATATGAGAAATCATGCAGATTTGTTTTTTTTTTTAACCAGTATTCATGACTTTGCAATTAGTACTTCTAAAGTAAAAACAAACAAACTGGTAGCATAAAACAGCACTGTACAGTATTTGTTTTCTTATACTGACCTCAGGAAACTGTTCAGTGTGTGACTTGATGTTCTTTGATTTGTCTTTTCCTCCTCCCTTTTTGCTTTTCGTTTTCCCGGAGCTGCTGAGGAAACAATTGAGTAACAGATAAAAAACTAAACTGTAAATTGCACAGAGTGCACCACTATGCACGAGTGATTTAGATCAAGAAGCAAGAGGGCGACTTCGTTCCTCCCGCTCTTCATCACCATCATCATCATCATCATCATCATCATCGTAGCCGAGTAACAAGCTCAAAGAAAACGTGCCAACATGTTTAACAACATAAGCTGTTTTGATTTCTTTCAGTGACTCTTTTTTCTGTTTTCATTCTTTTTTTAATCAAAGAACACATGTAAGCATTTAAACATTTACAAAACAGTTGCACAGACAAAAGTCTTTATCTCTGGATTTGTTTTTTTATTGATTAATTTATTTATTCATGGAGGAGAAAACAGAAAACTTATCTTAAAACAAGCAAATGGCTCGGATAATCAAACAGATTTTCTGGGCTTATTTTAGTGTTTGACTTCCATCTGCAAATGTTTTCCTTTTTTTTTTCCATGTAAAAACATCCTTTTCAGATTAGAATCAAAAGCAGCTTTCCCAAATAGAATGTCTAAACTCTAAAAGCTTGTACTGACAGCACCGTGTACACTTGAAGGACATGTTCTTTATAGGAAGAAGAGTTTGCCATCAAATATAAGAGGTGCTCCACACCTGCACACTTTCAATCAAATCTGCTGTAAGGAAAAAGCTGAAAAATCTCAGGTTCTCAAGCGAGCATCCAGCGCTTTAGATACACGCACTGGCCCAGATTTATGTCTCGCTGAAGTGCACGGACTGAATGGTGCAAAGTGCAAAACCAGAGCTGACTTGATTTTTCCAAATTTCAACTAGACACAAACTCATGAGGAGGATGCAGAGCTGCAAAAACAACCAGCTGCTTGGACACAAGGACAGTAACAGTGACAAAAAGCAGATAAATCGCTCACTGTTGATACAGAAAACCAAAAGTATATGTTGCAAAAACTACAGGTTCCCTCTACGTTTTAAAGCTAAAGACTTATACTGCTTCTGGTGTGCAAAATGTGGTCAAAACAGCTGATCTTAGAAAAAAAAAATGCACTGACCTTTTGACTTCTGCAGGAGGAAGATCTTCCTGCATCTCAGGTCCTGTGGGGTTTTCAGACTTTGCAGAAAGATCGTCTTCTTCGCAGGTGGTTTGTGTTGGTTTGTGCTCCTCTTCCTCCTCAGCAGTACTTGGCTATGCAAGAGGAGAGTGTGAGTGGAAGAGAGACAATTTCATGAAATCTGTACTTACAAGACCGACAGCTAAACGAAGACGCACTCAAAAACAGAAGGAGGGCAGAAAAAAAATCACTCACTTGTACTACTTTTAACTGCTTCTTTTTCCGTTTTTGCTTTTTTGACAACCTGAGGAGGTGAAGAGACATCATTTTTATTTACGAGTCACCAAGCTCCAACTGAGAAAATGTAACTATTTTTTTCATTCATAAGATAGTTGCTCTGGAGACTGGTCACTCAGTACTTTTACTTTTATTACTTAAGTACATTTTGTGTCAGAAATTTACTTTTGATACTTAAGTACGAAAAATATCAGATACTTTAAGACTTTTACTCAAGTAATATTCTTAGAAAAGACTTTAACTTTTACCAAAGTATTTTTATGATAAGATACTTGTACTTATACTCAAGTATCACTTTCAGGAACTTTATACAACACTGTTTACACGCAGTAAAAATTCTTTTAATTAACTACATATCTGCAATAAAACATGGGTCTCCTCCTCTATCTGAGGCGAGTAATGAAGAGAAAATACAAACTAATCCTTTAAACATTTGAGCCTAAAAATAAAACACTTTAAAGACAAGTTAACTAGATCTGTTATTCTGTAAAATGCACCTGTAAGTAATATTAACTCATATTTGTAGTATAATGAAGTCTCTAATATAGTTACAGCTACAGTCTGTGGTTGAGTAAACATCAACATATATGTATAAATTATGTTTTAATGTTGTGGAAACAGGTGATGTTATGAAGAGCAGAGAAATGATGTTGTTTATGGCTTCAGATTCAGACGTGCTGGCGTTTATTTATAAGACACCTGACTGTGAATACTTGGCGTGTAATTATGAAGGACGCTGTGTTCAAGTAGGGTTAGAAAAGCACAAACACCTCACTGTTCCCTGACCTCTACAGAGTCTATCACAGTGGTCCTGATGCGGTGACTGAGGGAACATTTGGAACACAGGTTTGTCGTTTACGTTACTTTTGCTTCGGCTTTTCTTCCTCCTCCTCTTCTTCTTCTCCTTCCTCCAACCGTTCATTTTCATTCTCTCCATCCTCCTTTCCATCCGCGCTCAAGCCAAGAGAGTCCTCCTCTTCCTCCAGCTGTTGCCGTAGCAACACCACCATCTCTCGGTGCTTTTTGGACTTTTCATGGTTTTTCATACTGTGGAGGAGAGGAAAAAAGGAAGCAATGAAACATCTGTTAAATGATTAGGAATAAAAAGTGAACATATTAAAATGCATAATCTCAGAAAAATATTGTTTTGGAAAGAATTTTTATGTTGCTGTTGTACTCAACAGAATAAAATGTAGTTAAAGAAATAAAATATAAAACATATTTTCACTGTCTGCAACAAAAGCACCTTCAATGTTGAGATTAAAGCTTAAATCATAATAATAATGATAATAATAATAATAATAATATAACAATAAAAACCATGTTTTTTAATTAATAAAGAGACAATTTTGTAAAAAAAAATTTGTGTTTCAAACTTTTAAACTGCTGAATTTAGACTACTGGGGTCGGATTTATAAAACTGGCGTACGCACAATTTGAGCCCAGAAACTTGCGTACGCCACTTTTTACGCTAAGGTTGTGATTTATAAAATCCAAACTTGACGTGAAAATGTGCGGTGCCTCACGCCAGCTTTGACCCATGCGTACGCTCATTTTGGAGACGTGAAACTGCGACACAGATGATGAAGAGAAGAATTAGAGCCACACTGTGTAATGATCACTGTCAAGATTTAATTTACCTTCAGAATCAGACTTAAATAAAAGTTCCCGTGCGCAACTCCATTCATCTGCTTCCTCCTCAGACGACCCTGACCCATACAGACCCCTCCCCAATAAGAACAGCAGGACAGCAAAAGCTTTGGATACATGCGCAGGGCGCGCTCACCTCGCCAGTGTGAATAATAAACCTGGGGGGAGGGGGGGTGCGCGTGCGTGCGTGTGCGCGCGCGGGGGGGTGTCTGCCGCGGATAACAGAGCAGGCAGGACGGGGAGAGGACGAGGAGAAGAGTAGTGGACTTATTTCTAATTTTTTCTGACTAATTTAACTTAATTTTTTTTTTTTTTATCGTGCAGGCTCTGATGGGAAATTGATTTGAAGCTGAGGTTTTTTATTTTTATGTTTTATAAAAATCATTAGATTACTCTAAAGCAAAATGAGGGAAAATCTGTGTCAGTTACAGACATTCTGTTCACGTGAGCAGCTGTCAGTCAGCACCTGTCATCCTCCAGACACACGACGGAGCGAGTCTGAACCAATCATTGATCAGCTGACTGATTTAAATACATCTTAACATTCATGAGGTACTTTGCATTGACTGGTTGAGTGTGGGCGTGTAG